TTTTCCATTGGATCCAGAAATATGTTTATCGGGCAATTATACACAATCGAACCTCCAGAATAATTAATTATGCTATTAAGCTTACTAAAATGTTTTTTTTAAATAGCTAAAAATGCATTGCTTTGAAATGAAAAACAGACACTGTACCAGTTGGACTATGGATCTCAGAAGTTTGAAACTGTACACCATTGGAGAAGATCAGATATTCTTTGAGAGGAAAGGGTGAATTATTGAAAAAGATTTGGGTTAAATTTTAAACTATACAAAAACAGTACCACATGATTTAATTTGACGTAATAGTTTTCCCCATTAGTTTATACAGTATCTCATTCATTCGTTCATTTTCTTTCCGGCTTAGTTGCTTTATTAATCTGGGGCCGCCAACTTATCCAGCATATGTTTTACACAGCGGATGCCCTTCTGGCCGCAACCCATCCCTGGGAAACATCTATACACACTCATTCACACACACTCAAAAACTACGGTCAATTTTAGCATACCCAATTCACCTATAGCGCATGTCTTTGGACTTGTGGGGGAAAACTGAGCACCCGGAGGAAACCCACGTGAACACGGGGTAAACATGCAAACTACACACAGAAATGCCAACTGACCCAGCCAATGCATGACAATGCTTTTATTTAGAACACAGTTTATATTAGCTCAATAGTCAGGCACATCCATGTCAATCCCTCATCAAAGGAGTAGCCGGGTGAAAATGTGTTTTGATCCAGGAGCGCAATACCTAGTTCAACCACTGGGTGTCAAACTTGCACACTGCACCTTTAACTCCAGTAACTCCTAAGTTTTATAGGCGCCCCCTACTAGAACTCTACTACATTTTTAACCATCATATATATATATATATATATATATATATATATATATATATATATAGTTTTAGCTCTGTACAGTATGTTTCATGCAGCATTATTTCACAAAATCAGAAACTTTCTTTTGTTTTTTCTGCACTTCCTATACTGAGATTATACAATCTGTTTTAAGTCACATCTACTTAAGTGTTTATGTGGTTCCTTTGTGTGGATTGTAATTAAATTGTATCTTATAGTTTGCATCTTATTTGAGATTCACAGAACCTAACATGACCATTTTTCTGGTTTTATAGTAAAAAATAAAATCTAAAAATCAGATATCAGTATCAAATCGGCCAATTTGATAGTAAAAAAAGTCAGAGTCGCCCACAGAAAAGCGTGATGCATAACTAATATAAAAGGTGACTTCACCTGGATTCTGACTGAGTGTCAATATTTGAATTGTTTATCAGTTTGTTTACCTAAATTTTCAAAGATATTACGTCTGTAACTTGTTATCTTTATTGTTGTGGTATTTACTAAGCCGTTGAGACAGCATGTGCTTACACTTTCAGCTAACAGTATTGGTAAAAGCCACTATTACAGACTCTCAAACACTCAACGATGCAACATGTAAAGCATATCTAACACACCTCTACATAACCGTAGCTACTGATAACACAGACCAACACGCTGAGCACAGCAGCGAATGAACTAAACACAACATATTTAAATTAAACTGAAAAACTTCCAATCTTGCTTGATTGTGAGAATGAGGGATGTGGTCACATTATACAACGCCATGCCAACATTGTCCCATGCAAATGCCCCATTGCCACTGTTTATGGACAATGCTTGTCAACAAGACTAAATGCTTCTTGCAGACTGTTGACAGTCTGACCATCTCACAGATGTTTAAGCCTGCAAAGCCTGACACATATATATATATAAGAACAGTTAAACATATATATCAGCTTTTTTATCATATAGTGTAGTAGCATAATATAAATAGATCATGGAGCTTATACTTGAGCATGGGGAAAAGTGTTTAATATTTTATGTAAAAAAAACTGTCCAAAGGTTTGTAGATACAGTTGAAGTATGAATTATTCGCCTCCTGTAAATCTATCCCCAATTTCAGTTTAATGGAAAGAATATTTTTTCAACACAATTCTCTACACATATTAGTTTTAATAATGAATTTCTAATAACAGATTTTATTTTATCTTTGCCATGTTGAATACACTAGCCGACAAAAGTCTTGTTGTCTAACAACAAATAATAACTTGACTTCTAGTTGATCATTTGGTTTCAGAAGCGGTTATATGAAAGGTAAAAGCCTCTAGATTACGCTTATTTTACCAAAATACAATATGATCGTGTCTTGATTTTAATGATTTAATTAGGACAGTAAGCTCTGACTTTGCTTAGACAAAAGTCTTGTCACTTAACAAAAATAATGTACAGTATAGAATATAAAGTCGTGGAGCAGTGGAAAAACAATGAATATTGTGTATGACTCCAATGTCTGCTATGACTCAAATAACATATTATTATAGTCATCTGGAATGGCAAAGAAAGTGTTCTTGCAGGACTCCCAGAGTTCATCAAGATTATTTAGATTCATCTTCAATGCCTTCTCATTTGTCCTACCCCAGACATACTCAATAATGTTCATGTCTAGTGACTGGGCTGGCCAATCCTGCAGCAGCTTGAACTTCTTTGCTTTCAGGAACTTTCATGCAGAGGCTGAAGTATGAGAAGGAGCGCTATCCTGCTGAAGAATTTGCCCTCTCCTGTGGTTCATAATGTATTGGGCAGCACAAATGTCTTGATACCTCAGGCTGTTGGAGTTGCCATGCACTCTGCAGATCTCTCGCACCTCACTGTACTGAATGTAACCCCAAACCATGATTTTTCCTTCACCAAACTTCACTGACTTTTTGTGAGAATCTTGAGTTCATGCGGATTCCAATAGGTCTTCTGCAGTATTTGTGATGATTGGGATGCAGTTCAACAGATTATTCAGTGGAAAAATCTACCTTCTACCACTTTTCCAAATGATCAACTTGTTGCTCTTACAACTGGGATCAACGAGAAGACTTTCGTCAGGTAATGTACATAATAATTTACTATATATTTTTTTAGACACTAGTATTCAGCTTTCAGTGCAATTTAAAGGCTTAACTTGGTTAATTAGGTTAACTAGGGGAGTTAGGGTGATTAGGAAAATCATTGTATAACAGTTCTGTAGACAATCGAAAACAAAAGTTGCTTAAGAGGGCTAATAATATTGACCTTAAAATGTTTTTTAAATAAAAAACTGCTTTTTCTAGCTGAAATAAATAAAACTTTATCCAGAAGAAAAAATACTAAAGGAAATGCAGTGAACATTTCCTTGTTCCATTAAAAATCCTTTTACAGAAGGGCTAATATTTTTGACTTCATCCGTATTATAAGAAAGACACATTTTTTTCAGTGAATTCTGATCATGTTAGTCATTCAGCAAACTTAGAAACACAAAAACATCCAGTACTCATGCGTGCGTTTGTTTTGATACGTGTGTAATCAGAAACTGGCACAGTTAACTTAACACTAAACTTTAAAACAAGCGACCTTTGGAATAACTTTGTTCGGGCTGCAGGAAGGAGAGTATGATTTCCTAAGAAAACAGATATTCTTCCTTTACCAAGTACATATATATCAATATCACACAAAAAGCAGTGAAAAGAAATTCAATGAGTCAATCAAAATAAAAAAAACTAAAAATTGTGTCATGCAGAAAAGCTTCAAACCTATTAAACACCCCAGAAAACTCATAGTGTGCATATTTTTGTCAGTATTAGCAGATTCATTGTTTTATGTGTTGTTGAACTTAAATAAGAAAGAATAAAAAATAAAATACACATAAAGTGTTATAAAAACAATACTAATAATTCCCAAATGTACCAAAACATAATGGTAGGACTAAAGTAATAACATGCTTTATGTATTTACTATGACGTAAACAAAATAAAACTGAGCGTACTGTACTGTGGAATTGTATTGTTATTATTCAGTAGTAGCATACAAATGGTACAATAGTATCTTAAACAATTATACCATAGTGTTGACACAACAATTTTGTGTCTTTACTATAAATTCTTAACAATAACAATATATGATTTTTAAAGTGCTAATGTTGTTGTTAGTTGTTACCTTCATCGTGTTGTTGTTGCTGTCCTGAGCTAATGACTTGATTAACTGCTATTATTGTATCATTACCTATTGTTAGAAAACATACTTGTGTATCATTGTTATTATCATGTTGTTGTTGTTGTTGTTTCGTGATCATGACACATTTAGTTGTTATTGGATGTTATTGGTATGTTTGGTTGTCTTTTTGTAGTGCGCCATTCTAAATCGTTAGTGTGGGGTTCTTTCAGATGTGATACTGGAGTGATACTGACATATCAGGAATAGCGCCCATTAAACTCGTGAACTCTGGGCTGTCGGGTTTCAGCGCTATTGTCATGCAAAAGTTGCAAATCAAGTTTGTGTGACATACTTCACTTAAGACTAATGCGCCAACAGTACGAGAAAAAACCGACAGGATTTTCTGAACACAATTTAAACACGTTCAAGTAGCCTATGCAAAATAAATACAGATTTAAATAGTAGGCTAGTAAATCTGTCAACCTTTTTAAAAACAAGTAAAGAAACAAATCTCAGATTTCACATTCTGTCTACGCTGTAAAAACGCTGTATTTCACACAATTCCTTCATATTTTTACACATTTAAGTGGACTGAACATAAAACAATTAAGTTGTCCTAAAGAAAAGTCAAGAATTTGGCTGTTTCAGCTCATTTTAGTTGTTTAAGTAGTTTGAACAAGCAGCAAAAGTAACTTTTAGAACATAAATCTGCAACAAGCGACGCAACAAAATTAGTCTACAGGCCCCCAAAACTGGACTCTGAAGAGTGGCGTGAAAATGCGGTGGGCCCCGCGGCCAGTCGCGCCGCGTCTTCGGCACCGTAAACGGGTGTCAACTGCTTGAGTAGCACGCCATGTCTCCACGAGATTGTGTCCTGCTGTAGTTTGTTCGTCTAAAATTCCATTTCTGTCCATTGAATTTAAAACAATTTAATACGCAAAAACATAAATAGGAATTTATGGGATAGTCTGGGAATGTGTGGAGTTGACCAACCTTCTCTCCCTGTGGCGGCTGTAATGCCCAACAGCAGCAGGAGGACCCAGGCGAGCCCAAAACTTCTGTCCGCCTCCATCGATTATTCCTCCATTAGTTGATAATAATCCTTCAGTGCATACCCAGATCCAGAACACGTTACACAAATCTCCCACGTGTAGGTCCAAAGCGTTTAATAAACCTGTTTTTGGGCTCTTTGTTATTTCCCGAATACCAACAACTTCCTGGCAGGAGCGAATGCGCCCGACTTTCCAGTCAGTGTGCGCGCGCGCTCGTGTGTGTGTGTTTGTGTGTGTGTGTGTGTGCAATAATACGCGCGTTCCCGCGGAGGAGTGGCAGTACAGATTGACTCCAGCAACTCTACTGACACATTTGCCAATTATGCAGTATGAGGAGCAGCAGTTATCATGTTTTACTTCAGTGAATATCTCTCACATTTAAGTTCAAATAGCCCAAAGTTCAAAAAAGCTGCTGAGCATTTCCGCCGTTACTTCCTTGAAAAGAGTTCAGTTAACACGGGTCAAAACCTATTGGACTTTTGTTCCTCTTTGAAACACATACCAAATCTGAAAGAGTATATTCACAAAACTGTTAAAAGTCTAGTTTACTCACTATTTAGGCTACTCACCCTCAAGTGTTTCCAAACCTTTAGCAGTTTCTTTTTCAAAATAAGATTTGTTGATGTTGATGAAAACTGAATACCTGAAACCATTGACATCCATAAACAGAAAACAAATAGAAGTCAATAGTTACAGGTTTCCAACAGTTTACTAAATATCTTTTTTGATGTTCGACATAAAAAAAACTCAAACTGGGTTTTGACTAGTAAAGAGTGAATAAATGACAGGATTTTCAGTTTTGTGTTATATATCCCTTTAAGATATAAAACTATATGAATCAATGAGTCTTCTGACAGAATACATACAGTTTTATAAGATAAACAAATTTTGTGAATCAAAATGCGCCACACATTCTCTATTAGAAACAGGTCAGGACTGCAGGCAGGCCAGTCAAGTATCTGTATCCTCCTCTTCCTCCGCAGCCAGGACTTTGTAATGTGTGTAGAATGTGGTTTTGCATTGTCTTGTTGAAATATGCATGGGCATCCCTGGAAAAGAAGGCAGCATATTGCACTTCAAAATCTCTATATACTTTTCAGCATTAAAGGTGCCATCACAGAAGTGCAAGCCACCTTTGCCAAGGGCACTGACACAACCCCATACCATGACAGGTCCTGGGTTTGGGGCTTGTTGCTGGTAACATACTGGATTATCCTTTTCTTCTTTGGTCAGGAGCACACGGCGTCCATTTCTTCCAAAAATACCCGAAATACTGATTCATTTGACCACTGTTCATATTGTGTGTGATGGTCCATCCCAGATGCCTCATAGCCCAGAGCAGTCGATGATGCTTCTGGACACTGTTAACATAGGGCTTTCTTTTAGAACAGAACAGTTTTAACTGGCATTTGTGGATGTACTTGACAAAGGTTTGCCAAAGTTATCCTGAGCCCATGGGGTGATACCGCTTATAGATGAATGACGATTCATGATGCAGTGTTGCCTGAGAGATCAGAGATCATGGTAGTTCAGCTTAGGCTTGCATCCTTGTCCTTTACGCACTGAAATTCCTCCAGATTTCTTTAATTTGGTTATGCACCGCTTCAATATCCAAATGTCTTCCTATCTTTTTTTGAAGAACACTTTTTTAAAACATATTAATCATTTTTTCATGTATTTGTTGGCAAACTGGCGATCCTCGGCCCATCTTTGCTTCTAAAGGACCAGATCTTTCTTAGATGCTGCCTTTGTACCAAATCATAATTACAATCACGTCATTATTTAATCAGTTTACCTGATTTGTAGTCTTAAACTGTGGCATTGGAATGTGTTGCAGCTCTGAATGACAGGAAAGGATGTATACTTACAAATGAACTGAGGTTGACCAGACTAAACACGAAATATTTGTGTGTTTGTATAGTCTGCGATGCGAGGCAGTGGCGCAGTAGGTAGTGTGTCGCCTCTCAGCAAGAAGGTCGCTGGTTCGATCCTCGGCTCACCTGGCGTTTCTGTGTGGGGTTTTTTTGTTTTCCCTGTGTTCGCGCGGGTTTCCTCCGGGTGCTCCGGTTTCCCCCACAATCCAAAGACAAGCGGTACAGGTGAATTGGGTAAGCTAAATTGTCTGTAGTGTTTGAGTGTGTGAATGTGTGTGTGGATGTTTCCCAGAGATGGGTTGCGGCTTGAAGGGCATCCACTGCATAATAATGTGTTGGATAAGTTGGCGGTTTATTCCGCTGTGGCGACCCCAGAGGGACTAAGTCGACAAGAAAATGAATGAATGAATTAATAGTCAAAGTAAGTTTGGAAATCACTACTTTTTTTCTTATTTGTGTTTTACTGTCCCATCCTTTTCTGATTTGGGGTTGCAAAAGTAACTTTTCCAACTGGAACTATTTTAACAAAATAATGAATAATATATGGTGCAAAAAAAAAAATAATAAATAAAATTTTAAAAGATGTGATAATAAAAAAAACGTAAAAAACTATTGAAAAAAACTTTATAAAATATTTGATTTAGTTGAAATTACGGGGGAAAAATTGCAATACATAGTTAGAATTAAAGCGTATTATTATCCTAAAGATGTTTGGTAATTCCAAATACAAATGTAAAAGGGATACTCATTTCAAGAGTTCACACTTAGCTGATAATCAAAAAAGCGTATTTGGCATGCTGTCCCGGGAGAGAGCCCTGAGCTCGTAATATCCTCGAGCCCGGGGCTCCCTCCCGTTAGAAGGGCGAGAGGGGAATTCGAGGTCAGGTAGGTCTCGAGAACTCCCCTGCTTGTCACCGTGAGAAGTGTAAACTCAGGTTGTATTGGGTGATAATTTGTTTTAGTCGATTGGCTATGGTTTATGTTTTTGGACGGTGGGAGGAAAACCCACGCGAACACGGGGAGAACATGCAAACTCCACACAGAAACACCAACCGGCCCGGTGGGTTGGACTGGCAGTGTTCTTGCTGTGAGGCAACAGTGCTAGCCACTGGGCCACCGTGTCGCCCGATCAGAAAAAGTGGGAGGATGTAGGGGTGGAAAGGGGGGGAGCTTCAAGACGAAGATAACTGGAGTGAAAAACTCAGGTTGTTTATAATGCTTCCGTAATCATCTAATATGGCTGATTACGGAGCTAACAAGGAGCCAGCCGTGTTGATTATAAGCACGTGATCCTCTCGAAATTAGTTTATAAATAAACCACACTTATGCTGGGTACTGTACAAACCGTAAAAAGTAATGTATTTTACGTATTTTATTATTTTTATTTGCCAAAACTGCTGTTTGTGCAGATTTTTCACATTTAAGGCGTGCATTTCTGTTTTCAGTTTTCTCAAAAGACAGTAGACTTGGGGGAAATTCCAGAGAATGGCATGTGTAGCCAAAAGTGTGTTTTTTTTCTCACATTGATAGTGAGCATGTTTGTACCCCAGGCCCAGACTCTGAGAAGTAGGCAGAAAGAGGAGGAGGAAGAATAAACCTCTTTCATTCCAAACTCTCCAGAGTCTCGTCACCTTCATCATGACCCTTTTAATTCAGCCTGCAAGAGAGCAAACCTTATTTCATCTACTAAGTGTGCATTTATTTATGCCAAAGCTTCTCTTGTTGGAAATGACCATCAGCTTCTGGCAAAATGTCCATGATTTCAATGATAAAAAAACCTGTGAAAATGCTACAGCAAAAATCCATACCCTAGTGAACAGTGAGTTTCCTTAATTATAAATATATACAGTTGAAGTAAGAATTATTAGCCCCCCTTTGATTTAAAAAAATTATATATATATATATATATATATATATATATATATATATATATATATATCCCAAATGATGTTTAACAGAGCAAGGAATTTTCACAGTATGTCTGATAATATTTTTTCTTTTGGAGAAAGTCTTATTTGTTCTATTTCGACTAGAATAAAAACAGTTTTTAATTTTTTAAACACCATTTTAGGGACAAAATTATTAGCCAAGCCTCTTTAATAAAAAAATATATTAGCCACGCCTCTTATGGTGCCACGCCTCTTTTATTTATTTTTTTACATTTTCATACAAATTAGCCACTAAACCAAAATAAAAATAAAAATTACGTTTAAATAAAAGCAGTAAGGTACTTTCTGTTAAGCCAGCCTGATCTTACGAGGAAACATAACTATTTTACGCTTTGTCAGTTTAGTGGCTAATTTGTACTAATTTGAGTACGAAAATGTACGATTTTTTATAGGAGGCATGGCACCAAACCCCACCCCTAAACACAACTGTCATTGGGGAATGAGCAAATCGTACTGAATTGTATGATATCATACAACGTCATGTGAATTAGCCACTAGATCAAAACATTATGACTTGATGTGAGATACTGTAGCATTGTTTTAGCTATATTATGAATATGATATTGTCAGATATATGACAGCTAAAGTTTACATACACTGTATAAAAAGGCACAAACCATTTTAAAAAAGTCAGATGTAAATGTGACTAAACTTTTTTCTCTTGTAGGTGAGTTAGGATTATCGATTTTTTTTTTGTTATGCTTAATAGCAGAATAATGACTTTAATAATAACTTTTCTTGGTGTTAAAAATTTAACATTCTTATGCCTCTGAAAAAGCTCAGATGATGATGTCAAGGTTCTGGAAGTTTCTGATTGGCTAACTAACAACATTTGAGTTAATTGGAGGCACAACTGTAGAATAGTATTTAAGAAAAACCTCAAACACACTGCTTCCTTGTGTGACAACAAGTGAAAATCAACAAGCCAGAATCAACAAAAAAGCCAGATCACAATTTGCTGAATTACACTGGAGAAAAAGAATAATTTTTTGGAGACATGTCCTGTGGTCTGATGGAACTAAGATTAAACTGTTTGGCCATAATGATCAGTGTTACATTTGGAGGACAAAGGGGAAAGCTCACAAGCCTATGAACACCATCCCAACTGTGAAGTATGGGGGTGACAGCATCATGTTGTTGGGCTGTTTTGCTGCAGGAGGGACTGATCCACTTCACAGCATAGATGGCATCATGAAGAAAGAACATTATGTAGAAAAATACTGAAGCAACAT